TAAAATCTCCTTTGCAAATAATAAATGGAACTCTAATATGTGTGTGTGTGTGTGTGTGTGTGTGTGTGTGTGTGTGTATTTCATATCTCTACATATCTAATATCTATATCTAGCATGTACACATATATATGTATATATGTATGTGTATATACATGTGTGTGTGTTTGTGTGCATATATACACACACACGGAAGTAGAGCAAAGCTGAAATATTTTGAGGGTCATGCAGATTCCCAGATTATCCCTCCTAAGATCAGGATGACAGAGACCACTGCCTTAGAACATCCATCTTTCCCAGAAGTCAAGAGGAAACAATCAGCTCAGAGCATAAAGTATAAAAAGTCTGCCTGATGAATTCTGACACACCCTGCACTAATTTCAGGTAACTCATCAAACTGAAAAGGATTGGCTGGTCGCTTAATCCTTCCTTAAAAGTGCCTTGCCAGCCAATGCCCCTCAAAGAGAAAAGGTAATTGCCCTTTCCTCTGAACCATATTTTGAAGGAGTGACTGACTGCAGGAACACCAGTTGGTCTTTTTTTTTTTTTTTTAATTTTTTTGAGATAGAAAATGAACACAAGCAGGGATTGGGGGGGGGGGGCAGGGCCCAGAGGGAGAGGAAGAGCTGAACAGGGAGCCTGGCTGAGTAGGGAGCCTGATGTGGGGATCGATCGCAGGACCCTGGGATCATGATCCAAGTGGAAGAACGACACTTAACCAACCGAGCCATCTAGTGCCACCGCCCCCCACCAGTTGGTCTTGATCAACACAACCTCAGGTAAATTTACTGCTAGAAGGGTATCACCACAGCTAACCAGAAGCCAGGGCTCTGCAGGAGAAGAGTGGAGATGTGCATGCTCTGGAAAATTCCATTTTGTACCTGATGAACTTCCATAGCTGCCCACCCTCCAGCCCTAGCCTGGTTCTCTACTGCTCATGCTGGGTTTGTTGGTTAAAAAAATTGAATCTCTAATTGGTGAGCTACGTGGAGAATATTTTAGGAATCTCTTCTTCCTCTTGCCTACCAGCCCCCTCTTCCTCATGGACAAGAATACAATCACTTTTGTTATGCCTAGCATGTGTCCTTTACTGGTAATCCTTCCAATGTGACAGGGAAGCAATATTCCCACTATTTTTCTGACCAGGACACTGAGGCTCAGAGAGGTTAAAAAAGTTGCTCCAAGTCACACAGTAGCTGAGCAGTGTACCTATAGCTACCTCAGGTCTAACTGATTTCAAGATCTGCATTTTATTTTCTGCCAGATCACAAAGCTTTCCATTCAAAGATGACTCATTAGAAGTCAAGGTCAGCAATGTGGAAGCCCTACCAGAAAACCTCCTTTCCTGGGCCCTTCTCTGGTCCAGCACCTCATTTTCAGTCTAGAAAGAATCTTTCTTTCTTTATTATCTCATCAGCTCTTTGGAGGCAGAGAGGACCCATGTTCTTTATTTTTCTACCACCTGGGCCTACTACACAGTAGGCGCTCAGTAAACATAGGCTGAATTGGATTAAAGTGTGTTCCAGAACTTTGCTGGTGTTTCACATCATCAGGAGCACATGGTAGCTTGTGAGAAATGCAGAATCTTGGGTCCCAACCCAGAAGTGCTGAGCCAGCATGTACGTTTAACAAGATCCCCAGGAAATCACATGCACTGTGAAGTTTGCGACATGACATTTGGCACCTTCCACCTGCTTTAACACACTGTTTTTCTCCCACCAGTGTAGAAGTGAAGCTCTTTCCTTTCTATTCTGCATCATCAGATGGAAAACACATTGTTTTATGACCCACAGAAGTTCAGATAATCTTTGAGGGAACTTTACCTAAGAGAGGACACTTCACTTACAATGCCAAGTCGTCCCCAATGTCAAAGAATTCAGCAGGCCAGTAGTGCCTTAGCTAATGACTGCATTTAGAAATTCTTTTTAACAAAGGTCCACATTTAATAAGTGCTTATTTAGTGTTCCATGGTACTATTAATCATCAGATTTAAACTTGAGTTACTCATAGTTAAGTACTCCATTAGCATTCACAAATTTCTAACCTTTAGATAACTCTCATCAACAATTCAGCTCATTTCCTACACCTCTTTATTGAGCATCTATTACGAACAAGGCCTCATAGGGATGAGACGTGGTGGGGAATATGAATGTGGCAGTCCCTGACCTCCCATCTTTGCTACAAATAGAATGAACATCAGGAACATGCTAATTAAACATTTGTGTAAGCAAATAATGCATCAAGTATCATTTCCACTATTTAAATGTGAAACTCAATTAGATGCTTCTATGATGCAGCCAATTAAACCATTGGCGTAAAGCAGCCAAGAATACTGAGTCACTGGGCTATTTTCAACACCTTGTAATTTGACCTCTCATGGGAAAGAAATGTCACCGCTTACATGGGATCAGCATGGGACAATCAGTGTCCCGATCACAATGGAAAAACTGACTTTTTCATGTGAAGAACAAGATACCTACTTGTTTGAAAAATTAGGAAAAAGAACTTAGCCCTTTGGGTTCTTAAGGGTCAAAAGCAAGACTTTAAAAAATGTAACATATTCAGATGATTATATAAAAAGTATATGCATGCAGTATTATTTTAATCTGAACAAATCACTAATTTTGAATTTGTAACCAGAAATCAAGGGGCAGGATGAAGAGCCAGCTATAAAAATCACCAAGACTTAAGAGAGATGGTTCAAAAAATAAGATAAATTTAACTTAATAATGACGGACATCATATGATGTGGGTCTCTCTTTTTTTTTTAAACCATTTTCATTATTAAACACCCAGAAACAGTAAAAAGGACCCAAACTCTTAAAAGACCGAACGTGCTTAAAAGCAATCATTATTTTCCACATAAAGATGAATTCTTTAGTCATCATCTGAACAGTCTCATCATATCAGGGAATTTTTTTTTCATCGTACTAATTAGTAAAGCCTCACTTGGTTCTTTTCTTGGCACATTTAACTCTTTAGGGGGTAACGTTTTATTAATAACATATTTCCTTCAGAATGAAGTCCCTTCTCTCACCTCCCCAGGAGTCATTTGGGGGAATAGTAAGAATAAAGCCAATTCTATGGTCACGCACAGTGGGACAGATCAGCAAATAAATAGAGACATCGATTTCCCAGAAGAAAATGGCTAAAAGCAGCACATTTACAATTCTTCTACGCCACAATCCCCATCTCTCTGGGAGATGGAAGACAAGTATTGAATGTCTTTATGTTGCACACTTTATTTCTAACTAAATGTTTAAGAAGACTGCTGAGAAATGCCAATACTTCTACAGGTCCTGGTTTAGCTGCACAATGAAACAGAGATTTTAAAAATGTATTATTTTTCGCTTTTGCCCAAAAATAGTGGTCCCAGTCAGAATAATACCTTTAAACATGATATTTATTGGGGGGTTATTTATTTTGGGAATTTAAAAAAAGATTTTGAGAGAGAAAGAAGAGACAGAAGGAGCAAGGGGAGGGAGAGGAAGAAGCAGACCCCCTGCTGAGCAGGGAGCCCAACACGGGGCTCAATCCCAGGACCCTGAGATCATGACCTGAGCTGAAGGCAGACGCTTAAGCGACTGAGCCACCCGGAGGCCCCCATCTTATGGGTTATTTTTTCCCAGACTTTCCCTTTAAGGAAATCTTTGTGACAGAAAGACCTAGTAGTTGCCTTTGAATTTCAAACTGTCACTTCCCACCTAAGAAGGGCAGCTCTGCTTTAATACAAGCCATAATTAGCTGGTCAATTCACTAGTCAGGTACTAAGTCAGTGTTAGATAGAGGTGTGGACAGAGCTACACCTTGCCAGGAACAGCTTTCCAGCTAATTATCTGGAAAGTCCAAACAGGGAAAACCCTCCTATTAAGGAAAAGAAGGTTTGGGTTCTAAATGATCACACATGACCAGTTCGTTTCTGCTAATTGAGTTAATAACTACTCAAATATTTTCTCTGTAAAGAAACAGTCCAGCCAATTTAATGAATTTGGGGCAGGATAATAAAGCAGCAGGTACTAACGACAAACAGGTGGGGTTTTCCCCTCTCGGGCCCCCTCCTGAACACCTGTTGAATCCCGGGTCTTTTAACTTTCTGAACTAAAGCTTCCCGGATACAACCGTGGTAGTTTTTAGACTTTCTGGAAGTGCGTGTGTATTTTTAAGGTTTCCATCTTGCTTAATCTACAAAACTGGTTACTAATTATTTATGAATCACAGAGCTGAAAACAAACTTTCTTACCTTGAGCAGTTAAGGAGTGGCAGGCAGAGGAGCGGGGTTAGTTTTTAATTTAGCCACCTGGCACCTGTTCCTACCCCCTGGTAAACGACCCTGCGCAGCTCTATAGAAAGGTCAAAGGTGCGCCTCCCTCCTCCGCCCGGGGAGGGGGCACACCTCCTATCAAAACAACACGCAGGCATCCAACCTGGGGAGCGGTGGCAAGGCGAAGCGAAGAGCCAGGCTATGCGCTCTCTGAACGTTCAGGTGGCAGACTGGGTACCCAGTCGGGCCCGGAACCAAATCCGACCTAGGGACCGGGAGAGATCGCGGGCCCGGGGCGCGCACGCCGCACTCCCTAGGGCTCCCCGGTTCCCCACTCTTCGCGAAGGAGAGCGGTGGGGCTCAGAGAGGCTACAGGGCAACCCTCCAGGCTGCTACCTGGACACGGCCTCTATCCACCCGACGGTACCCTCTGATCTCCCCCAAATCCTGAGGTTCGGGGTGCCTCATTCTCCGCTTCCTACGGCGAGACGCACACGGAGCACACCGACCCTGCAACCGCTGCAGTCCCGCAAGACGCGGCGTCCCGGGCGCCGGGACCCGGGGTGGGCGTGAGGCCACACCATCCTGCGCCCCTGACCCCCGCACCGCGCAGCCCCGTGCCTGAACGCCCCTTCCGGCCCCGCGCGTCCACAGCGCCGGCTAGCAGGTGACCGAGTCCCGCGACCCAGCGCGCACGGACTCCCACCCCGGGCCCCCCGCATCCCCGGGCTCGGCCCCTTACCTCGTAACTGGCCGGGACGACCCCGCTGGGCCGGGCGCTGACTGGGCCGGGGAGACGCGCCTCCCGCCGCCGCCGCCGCCGCTGGGAGCCGAGGCGGCGAGCGGGCGCGGCGAGCTCCTCCCGGGCGGCGGCGGGAGGCGCTGCTCTCGCTGCCGCCGCCGCCGCCGCCGCCGCCGCCACCGCGGCTGCGGATCTCTGAGCTACGCGGCTGCTCCTTCCCGGCCGCCGCCGCGCGGGTCCCTCGGCTCCTGCGGCAGGCCGGCTGCTCGCGCGGCAAACTCTTCCGCACGCAGAGCCGGCGGGGAGAGCCGCGGTCTCTTCCTCCTCCCCCCTCCCTCCTCCCTCCTCCCACCTCCTGCCTCCTCCTCCTCCTCCCTCGCCTCCTCCTCCTTCCCTCCGCTCCCGCTGCCGGGTCTCTTCTGGTCGCGCGCCGGGCCTTGGCCCCAGCCCAGCCGGGGACTCGCATCCTGAGACCCCCCGGACCCCCAGTTCCTCTGGGCGGCGCAGATACCCGCGCGCCCGAGGCCGCCGCCGCCTCTGCTGGGCTGCCAGGGACGCGCGGCAGAGTCCGGCCTGGGGCGCGGGGTCGGGACTGGGCGCGGGGTGGGGGTGTGTGTGCTTAGAGGTAAACTGGCTGAGAGGGGAGGTAGGCGGACACGGGGCTGCCAGCTGAAGTCCGGTGAAAGTTGTCGCCGGGGGTGGCAAGGAATCTTCCTCCCCTGCTTTGTGCAGACACCCTCGCCGTGCCCTCTGCCACCCCCGCTGTCCCGTGCGTTGGGGGGAGAGGGGGACGAGCGCAGGACTCTCGTCCCCTCCACGCCGTTCTAGCGGGGCGGGTCTGAGCGCGGAGCCAGAGGCCAGGCTCTGGGCGAGTCTCTGCGCTAGGACCATCGTGATTTCTCAATGAGCGGTGGCGGCCGGACGGGGAGGGAGGGGGCAGTTGGGACACTGGGGTTGGGGGAGAAAGCTGGAGAGCGCTGTTCCGGGGAGGACCGCAGCGCCTGCCGGGGAGGAATAATCGGTGTTGCTTCCAAGGCGAACATAGTCCGTACGGAAAATGGGTCAAGGATGGAAAGGAACTGGCTATTTGACCCCCCACCACCGCACATACACACCCAGGCAGAAGCATGTGGGGTGGGGGGCTGAAGCCAGGAGCGCGCCCTCCGAGCTCTGGTCTGCCTCTCCCTCCCCTCCCCTGCTGCCCTCCTCTCCTTTTGCACCAGTGCAGGAAATGTTCCACTGACCTACATATTTTTCCAAACATACGTGACCTTTTTTTTTTTTTTTTTTTTTTTCCCTCTGTGGGAGGAGACAGGCGAGAATCCAAGAAAAGGAGAAGCTGGAGCGGCGCGCGCGCGAGCAAACAGGGAGGCTTTCACCAAGGCTCCCGCAGCAAACACCAAACCAAGACAGATGCACAGAAATAGTCCCCGGGAGCCAGGAGCCCTGGTTTGATACTCTGCGGGGCTCCGAGATAGCGGCGGGTGAAAAGGGGAAATCCTGTGTCCCGCAACAGTGACCAGGTTCCCCTGGGCTCACCGACCTCCCTCTACCGCGTGGAGGCGCCTGGGGAGAAGCCCAAAGGAGGGGACAGGTCCCCTACCCCCGGGAGGTCACCTTTTCCCTAACATCACCTAAGTACAGCCCCTGGCACCGTGCTATGCACCCAGCAGCCTTTCTCAGATGTCTCTTCGTCCCTCGCACATTCCAGCAAGTAGCCCTGGAAAGGAAGGCGCCCCGGCCAGTCTTTTTCCATCACATTCGGCTTTGTGGCCAGAATGAATCTCCTAGGGCACTTCCTCTGAACACCAGTAGGGCCACTGTGCTGGGGTTCGCTGCCCACTCAGTTCCAGAGCCCTTGCGCAAGTTCAAGATAGGCCCTCTCCCGCGCAGACCAGACCAACAGCGCCTTATTTGGGCATGCAACCCCACACCGTCAATTAGATCAAAACGCTCACACAGAGCTCTTTTTTCCCCCCTTGTAAAGTAGGTCATTCTCTTTATTTCCCACTTGTATTATTTTTGTCTAATTCTCCTCCTGAAAAATAATCAGCTGCAAGGAACTTTGAGCATCCTAAGAAAGCCGTTATTCTTAGGCTTGCTTCTGACTTGGAGGGCTTCTCAAAGAGGAGGAGGCATTTGGCACATTATGGTTTTAAAGTCCCTCCTTTTCCAAAAGGAAAAAAAAAAATTTTTTTTTTTTTTTGCTTTGTTTTTCTTCAGGCAAGTAGGTTTTGCCCTGCCCTTAAAGCATGGTCCTAATACCTACTAAAAGATAAAGTTATGTGCTTTTAACCTGAGTCACCTCCCTTCCTTTCCTGCTTTGAAAGAGATTCCAACTCCTTCCACCTCCCTTTTAGGAGTTAGTTGAACAATCCTTAAATGATCTTTTAGGAAACAAATGACCTACAGTAATGATGCAACAAATAATTCTGCGGTGCAACAAATGTTTTTGTTACTGTTTTTTACCTACTGCCCAGTAGGATATCCTACCAAATGTGTGGTTTCTATCTCTTAATAATGGAGATGATGTATATATAGTTGATGCTCTCACTCCAGACTCCATCTCGTCTCCTAGTGTTAATCCTACTGGATAGGACATCTGTCTGACCAGAATGGGAAGTGGAGTCAGCAGCACAGAACCCAATCAGGACTAGAGCACAAGCAGGGTCCTCAGAAGATTGTGCCTTTCCCCAAAATGTAGAGTCAAAGAGGAAAGTTGACCTTCTGTTCATGCTACACATTTGACAGTTCAGTTCCTTTTATTGGCATTTGTTGACACCTTCCATGAGTCAGGCTGGGCTTGGCCTCTGAGGGATCAGCAATTTCTATACAAGAAGGATTTACAGGGTAAAGACAAGATAAAGATGAGGCCAAATAGGGCTAGTGGCAGAAAACAAAATGACATGTGAGTTCAAAGGAAGGAATCAGGGTGGGCTTCTTGGAGGAGGTGATATTGACGCTAGGATTTTTTTTTTTACCAACTAGATAATAAAGTCAAAATAGATCATAATCTACGCATTACTCAAAATGGGCAGCATGGAGCAAAAGAACCATTTCAAAATTACATTGCCAGTTTGGGGAAATTCTCAAGTCTCATGTAGTTAGTCTTTTAAAAGAACATGGGTTTACTCATTGAATGCTGCAACAGAGTATCCAGGAACCTCAGATATTTTTCAAAGAATCAAAATTGATGGAGGAGTCATTGCAATTATATCAATCTTTGAAGATCAGTGAAACAATTCAGTTTTTGCAATCTAACTGGAAGGTTCTTTCCCATCATAAAAGCTGAATCTGTGGCCTATCCTAATTTAAAACATTTACCCAATTAAATTCTCAAAATACATACACTATAGGTGTCCATATGTGCTGCTGCTACATACAGGCAAGAATGTGTGGACTATTCCATTAATTACAGTACTAGCTCAAGGCTTGGGACCCACGTTACGTATGCACAGTCAGTAAATGAAACAGAACTTTAGGGTAGACAACAAGGCCAGGGATCTTTGCCAGATGACATCATCACAGTTTTTCTGAATGATCATAAGATAGAGGGCCTTTTATCTTTTTATTTTTCTTTATTTTTTTAAAGATTTTATTTATTTATTTATTTATTTGTCAGAGAGAGAGAGACAACACAAATAGGCAGAGAGGCAGGCATAGGCAGAGAGAGAAGAAGGCTCCTTGCTCAGCAAGGAGCCCGATGCAGGACTTGATCCCAGGACCCAGGGATCAGGACCTGAGCCGAAGGCAGCGGCCTAACCAACTGAGCCACCCAGGCGTCCCAGGCCTTTTTTTCTTTTTAATACAATGTGTGTGTGTGTGTGTGTTTTTTAAAGATTTATTTATTTATTTGACAGACAGAGATCACAAGTAGGCAGAGAGGCAGGCAGAGAGAGAGGGGGAAACAGGCTCCCCGCTGTGCAGAGAGGCTGATGCAGGGCTTGATCCCAGGACCCTGAGACCATGACCTGAGCCGAAGGCAGAGGCTTTAACCCACTGAGCCACCAAGGTGCCCCTGTGTTGTTGTTTTTTTTTTTTAAGATTTTATTTATTTGACAGAGATCACAAGTAGGCAGAGAGAGATGGGGAAGCAGGCTCCCTGCTGAGCAGAGAGCCTGATGTGGGGCTCCATCCCAGGACCCTGGAATCATGACCTGAGCCGAAGGCAGAGGCTTTAACCCACTGAGCCACCCAGGCGCCCCTTTTCCTTTTTAAAATGAGTGTCCAGAAACCCCTTTATGGATTCTGAACTCTGAGTAGCAGTTTTCACTTTCCAATGAAGAAGAAAAACAAAACACAATACCAGGCATCGTTAGGTAGGGTAACGTCATGTTAGGGAAGAGCAGTGCTGCAATGGAGACAGAAGGGCAAGTGGGGTCACTATGAAGACGAAGAAGAGACCTCAGAGCCTAGTAACCAGAGACTGAATGACTTAGAGGCCAGGGCTTCTGGGCACTTATAGAAGGAAGATTCAAGAATGTCCACCTTGTGGGACACCTGGGTGGCTCAGTGGGTTAAGCCTCTGCCTTTGGCTCAGGTCATGATCTCAGAGTCCTGGGATGGAGCCCCGCATCGGGCTTCCTGCTCAGCAGGGAGCCTGCTTCCCCCCCTCCCCCGGCCCGCGCCTGCCTCTCTGCCTACTTGTGATTTCTGTCTGTCAAATAAATAAATAAAATCTTTAAAAAAAAAAAAGAATGTCCACCTTGTGATTGAAATAATCAAGGTGAGAATTTGAACACTTTGGTTCTGCAGAAGCTTTGCAGGGTGAAAGTGCAGGGTGGTGACTCGTTCCTGCAGCAGGCTCTCCTGTGGGCCCCAAGGATGCTACCTGCAGACAATCAAGGCCTTGTGCAGCCCGCCTGGTAAGGTCAAGACTTGGCACCTGTACCTATTAGATCATGTGGTTGGCAAACCCAAGAATGAAGTAAGATTTCCTTATAACGCTGGTGTGGAGGAGGACCCAGGGAGGAAATGTGGGCTGGAACAGTCTGGAGGTGACAAAGCCCCAAAGCCTCAGCCAGTTCCCACCAGTTAATTGCA